AATCAATGACTGAATATATTACCCCAAGTTCACTTGACACTTTAAAAAAAAAAAAAACAAAAAACCAACCACATACAAAGGCACTAGGTAAGTCTGCGGGTCTAAAGAAATAACAAGAAAATACTACGCCCTGTGATAACACTAAGGGCATGGAGGGAGACAAACAGTGCCAATCCAGGCTTGTATTGAGAAACCTGAATGCAAGAGGCTTGTTGTGGTATGCCATCACCATCTCTAAATACTTAGCTTAGTACTTTTGGTTGCATTTGAAACCCATTAAACTGGAACTTCATAGAGCACTGATGCTTCTCTTTCTTACCCTGCCCCAACCCAAAAAACATACCCTCTTTTTTCTAGAGCTACTGACTAGGATGATTAACTGCGTGTATTTACCCTAAAAATCCAGTGATGAAACTAAACCCTTTAGGAAGGCAAGTTTATAGCTCAATTGTGAAATACTAAAAATGCATTGAACATATGTTCTCTGACATACTAAAAAAAACCAGACAGTGATGAACAGATGCACTAGTTTAAGGACACAAATATTGTTTGCAGAGCTGTATAAAATCATGAATGCAAGAAAACAGCAACATCAACAGAAACCTCTTAACTAAATGGAAGCTGCTAAAATACAGCAGGCCTCCCAGAATAGTACTTAAAAATTTGGATTTAGCAATAGGAATCTTCCTAAATTTAAGGTGTTAAGTAGATGCAAGTACTACGTACAAGAGACTGGATCACCCCAGTATACACTCACTAGCAGAACAATACCATGTTTTTTTCATTACAGTAAATGAAGACGAACAGAGGCTGCCTGCAGGTGTTATGCTTGGAAAAAGGTCATAGATGATCCCTCGTCCAGACTTCTAAATAATTCATGCAAAATTCTGTACTTCCAAAGCTTTTATTTGAAATTCAAGAGTCTATCTATTGCATTACCAATGAGATTGTGGAAGAGGTAAAAGTAAACTGAAAAAAACCCCAGTAAAACAAGTACTCCTCTCATTCAAGTCATTCCTATAATTAAGGGCATATTAATTCTAGAATATCTAGAGGATGGTGTTTATCACAGGAGATGAAAGCACATGGCTAAGTTGTGTATAGCTTATTCTGTTCTTGTACTACATAAATAGTTCTATTTACCAGCCCTGACTGAGATTAACCAACTTCTCTGTTCAAAAACTGGGAATGGAAGGAGGCAGAAGGGGTGCAGTGAGGCAAAGTGGAAAACAGGAAGTGATATTACTCTTCAAAGTTCTGCAAAAATGCTTCCTACAATATCACTATGTAACAAGTATTTGTTTTCTCTAACGGACAGAGTGACATCTACTTGTAAATCCAATACAAGTTTCCAAGTACAACCAAAGTACACTCAGCTTTTAGCACTTACACTTATTTAACACTTACAAAAGTGAAGGAAAATGCTATTTAGGAAGATTTTTTTGTAAGGGCCATAAAATCAATTATAAAATGCATCTTCTGTTAGCTATATAAAATGGAAAATAAATGTAAATTGATGAAGTGTAAGTTCCTTACTGTGCTTGTGAAGGACAGGTTCTACACGCATCACTTTTCATTTCTGATATTCATGTAAACCCAGTAACTAGAGTATGAGCTAAAAAGTTTAAGTAAAAAAGTGGTGCTTTCACAGTTTCTTTCCTTTTGGTAATGGCAACTTCAATGCAAGTGACACCTAACCTTTTGCAAACAGAATCCCATATAATTTAACTAGAAGGACCTACAAATTTTAGCAACAAACATGAGAGCTTTAGTCTCCAAGAAAAAGCAGTGACAGTGGATAAACACTTATTGATCTTGGGCATAAACTCAGTAATGTTTGTGAGAATATGGATGAAAAGAGCATAGGTTTGGTTGAGTAGTTACAAAATTTCTCCTCCTCAGTTTTCAAAAACAACAGACAATACAGGATTTTGATTCTGAAATTTATTTTTAGCAGGATGTGTGTACTAATGGAGGGTGACATCATTAGAAGATGCGTCCATGTCCACCACCTGCAATAGAAGCTAGACAGACATTAAAGAAAACATAGTTTAAGAGTCAAAGATGACACTACTTACCCAGAGCAGAGTTATGACAATCACCTAACAAGCAGCATGGTTAGCTTTTTGTGCAGTCATGATACCCCGTATTATTTATCTGTGGTCAAAATTTTCTGTCAAGATTTAATGCCAATGCACACACTACCTTGACTTACGGGAATCATGAAATTCCGTTTAGATATAATTTTAAAAAATATTCATGCAAAAACAAGTTACGTGGAGAAAGTCACTTACCCGTAAATTCTCTTCAGAAGACAAACGATCTGCAAATTTAGGACTAAAGCTCCAAGTTTAAAATTCAGCAAGAACTCTCTAGGATTTCAAATTCTAATACCATTAAACCAGGTCAACAGCTTGTTATATTTCAAGATTCCACTAATAAAATCACTTGCTTCTTAACATACCTGGGTTTGACAAAGCAATCACATAGCATATCAACAGTATACTGACAGATGGGTGATACAAATTCTGAAAGAAATGAAGACTTGATATGTTAGAACCCAGAGACAGCATTACACTCAAAACAAAAACAATAGTCAACTCTTTACCAAAGGAAACCAACTTGTCTAGAATCAATGACTTCTACCAGAAGTTAAGCTTGATACAAAACCTAGGAACAGCCAGTTCAAGAAACACATTCTCAAAGAATTAGGAGACAGGCTATTTTCCAGTGCTATTTCAAATGAGAAGCCCAAAAGTAATGCTGAGTCTGAGGTATAGCGTTCTCCCAATCTGCAGAAACTAAGCCCTTGCTTCAGAAAACAAAGGATTAGATGGGTATCTGACTATAGGTAATTGGTATTTACCGCAGAAGACAGAATTCATATGTTCTTTATTTTTAAGGAATGGCTGTCAGCTAGCCCTACAGATAGCATCAGAAAGGCATCTCGATCTTACATTTCAAAACTTCAGACTGTTCATCAGCCTTCAGTTCCCAAGCCTGGAAGTGGCTACAGGTAGTGAGCCTAAGAAAAAGTTCACCTAAACACAAATTTAGAAGCTCGATTTTAGGTTCTTGCTCTTTACAATCTCTTCACTCACAGCTCCTCATTAGAGCCTCGAGTCCACACCACCTTGGCTTATAGATCTTTATCAGTAGCTTGCACTTATACATATTAAGCAGCCTAAAAAGATCCTTGAAGTCTACCTCAATATTCTGGGAGTCTTCGGTCTACTAATAACAAGAAATTCAACTTGTTTCTTGAATCAAAAAATGTGTAATCTATTCACAGCTGCACTCTGCTTAAATTTCTGATGCATCAAGCTCTGTGGTTTCAGGAGAGTATAAACCTGTCTGAAGGAATAAGTCACTACCTTTTGATCCACTCGCTATCCCAATGATCTACTCTATCTAAACAGGGTGTAACTGCAGATAATGATCTTCTACAAAGAGAAGCAAGTGTCTCAAGACAATCAGTCCTATGTCAGTACCATGGGAACCTCTGTCCTTCAAACACATCACGGGCTCACACACATGGGGAAGGCAGGGCAGGCAACTGAAAACTAAAAGCTTCCTGTTCATTTATCTTTCAAGTTGTATTGTATTATTGATCAGTTGCTTCTGCAATCAATACTACACTGTGCAGCATCTATCTTAACTGAAGTCAGCAGAAACCCTTCCCTCAGGTGAACACAAACACAAACTTGGCAGGAAGAACCTTCATCAATCACCTTTCTGCAAGGCACAAAGCAAAAGGAAGCACAAGTGAGGAAATAAGAGTAGTTCAGGAATGACATAATTGAGCTGCTTGATCTCTTCAGACACATCGTGAACAGTATTTTCCTGCATCAAGTCACTAAAAAACCTGAACACAAGGTATGAAGTTATAAAAGGGCAAAGAAACAGGAGTAAAGATAGTTTTCATGATAGGCCTGTGCAACCCGAAAAGCAATTCATTTGTGCACCTTACAAGAACTAGGTGTATATGCTGCAGTTACAGTCCACTGCAACTGCATAGCTACCTGCCACTGCAAGAAGATGCGGCTTTAATTCTCCTCCTGCAATACCCAAGATAGTGTTGGTACTCATGTCTCAAAGCTGAGACAAGGCACTTGGGAAGCAACACATGAAATAAGGGACTTATTTAGGACAGGTGAGATGTTCACCTGGAGGCTTGACAGTATTATGAGGTCGGAAACGAAAACAGATTACCAGCAGTAGCAAAGATTGGAGTAACTCAATGGATCATTTGTTCATACTGAACTGTTCACCCTGCATCCCTCTCGTTAATGATTCACCCTATCCTACATGTCTCAGTGCCAAAAATACTGCTAATCAGCTGCGTTACAGGTTGAAGCACCTAAAACTTTGCAATGCATTTGTTTTACTGGGTTTAATAGAAGCTTGAATCAGGTTAAAAGTTATGCTGAAACCAGCTATTAAATTTTCTTAAAAGTGGTTTCAAAAACCCATGCTGAAACCAGCTATTAAATTTTCTTAAAAGTGGTTTCAAAAACCCATGCTGAAACCAGCTATTAAATTTTCTTAAAAGTGGTTTCAAAAACCCAGGTCTTCACCAGAAATGAGAACCCTTCTCACAAAAAAACGACACTATTAAACCATACAGTACATAATGAAGACCTCAGTGAATAAATGAGCAGAAAAAATTTTGCAGCACAGAAAATTAAGTTTGTACCACTCACAGTAAAACTTCCTAACTACACTAGTCAAATTAAGTCTCTCTACATAATGAAAACTGAACATGTTAAATAGAAAGACAAATACTGAAATGATTACAATTGTAATACTATCTAATGTTGAGCTGGTTTAATAGTTTTAGAATACCAACACTAGAGAATTCCTGTTAATGTGCTGGAAGCAAAGACCTAAGAGTAGTGATTAAATATTTACCTTTGGAGAGAAAATTTGTTTACGCAAACTAAAAACATTTGCAAGATCAAGCTTTAGTGAAGAATGGACTAAAACAAAATGTTACGCACTTCTAGCTTATGTTCTTTCTCTGCAAGGAATTCTTTTTGACATCGCAGAAAGTCTGATAACATTCGAGTTAGCTGTTTTCTATCATCTATTTCAGCTGCCAACCTGCCATTGTAATCCGCCAGCAACATACATGCATCATCTACCATTTTGGAAAGTTGCTCTCCAGATTCCTTATCTAAAAGGCAAGCAGAGAGAAACAGGTAAAGCAAGATTTCATTATATGTTTCTAAGTTCTCATGCCAGCTTTTCAGGTTTCAGATCCCCAGACCTTACCTGTTATTCTGTCTAACAGTGACACATCTTGGACCTCTACGGGCAAAGAAGCTATCCTTTGATGAACTGCTGCATCCCCAGAGGCAGCATTTTCTAGTTCTTGTAATGCTCTAATAAGATCTGTGGTCTGAAAAAAGCATGCAAGATTGAGAGCTAGTTTAAACAAATAAAACCTAATACAAAGCAATACTTCATAGAAAGCTTACAGAACAAAATTTAATGGCATTTTTAAAACGCATTTACAATATCAGCATTATAGCAACATTGTCTTCTCCTAGACTAAAAAAATATAAAACCAAGCCATTAATTCTCAGCATAACATTGCAATCTTAGTTTTAAAGGTCATATTCCTAAGACAGATTTACATTTAAATTCTTGCACTAGGACTAGTCATAAACCTTTTATTTTTGACACTAATGAATATTTTACAGTACCTTTTATTTTACTGTACATTTTTAGAATGTATTTAACTTTCTTGCAGTTTTGCCTCCCAGCTCCAATCTGTAACCTAAAGTATTTCAAAATGAAGTTTAAGGCGGCACCAAAGCAAACAGATCTTGTTCAAAACACTTTGGTAGATTACACCTTGCAAAGACATATTAGATAATGAGACTTTTATATTTCATTTTTAAACCACACACTGTTCCAAAGCCAACAGTTCCTTTACATTGCCCAAACATCACTGTAATGTTAAGTTGCCTTTTCACAGAAGAATGAAGATTCACAGCATGAGGTACCCTCAGGAAACAAAATGATGTAACCAGTCCAGACCCATCTCATCTTGATATAAGAAGGTTTTGGGGATAGGTAAAAGCACAGCAGTCTCTCCTTATGAAACTAATAAGGGTCATAAAGTACAACTAAGCACAGCACTAGGGAAATTTTATATCCTATCAGGGAATATTAGAAACACTTGGACTCGATAGAGGTGTAGTCACTCTCCCTCCAATTTTCTAGATGTTGAGCACTGATCCAGCCCATAAAAAATCTCATGGGGGACAAAAAAAAGCAGAGTAATCAGAAATAAGAGCATTCAAAAATTGTATATCAAACATTAAAACATATGCCATTAAAATTTTTTTAAACATGCTTTTACCTGTGGAGGATCAGTGGGAGAACTTCGAGGTGAACAGTTATTTTCATCAACTTTTATCTGTTCATATGTACGCTTCCTGACCTTTCTGTCTCCATCTAAATGGAAAGAAACAGAGTCAGGGAAATAAAATTTCAAACAAGAGACTGAATCTTCATACATGCACAAAATACTTACACAAAGCTTGCCTAAGTTGTTCTAATACATCATTTTCATAAACAGACCTTTCTTCCCAGATAGAAAGCACTCTGCCAAGGTGTTTCTTACAACTCTCATCAGACTCACTGTTACAAGGAAAAAAGCAAAAATCAGCACTAGGTTGAAGTACAAAACAATAACTGCAACGGTGATTACCCTTTGCACAAAAATCTTAGCATACGTTCCCAAAACCAAAGAATCAAAAGTTCAATAGCCTCACAAAATAACAAAACCACATTTTACAGAAAAGTGAACAAAGACCAGTCCAAGATGTCCCAACAATGCATTAAAAGAGACCCCAGTGCCCAATCCCTCTCTACTTGTTTGTTCAATCTCTAAATCAATTGGTCTGTACCCCTATTAGGCAAGCACTGTAGATAGATTTGCCTTAAAATAAGGCTTTAGAGCTGTAAAGCAGTATTTAAAAATAATTCTTTCGAGACTCTAGCATTTTACTCCTGCAATGAGATGGATGGGCTCCTAGGGGAGGAAAAAATATCATGCAATACCAGTAATGAGAAATTCCAAGTTGTACCTCATGAACATAAAAAAAGTCATGATTTAAGGCACTGCTTTCTAAGGCAAAAGGGACTGAATGCAGAGGACTATTATATACCTTCATTTAATAGCATTAAAAGTACTCAAGATTAAAAGAACTCTGAATAAGTTAACATAACTTCAAGTACAGAATTAGCACATGAGGACTCGCTGGGCCAGAAATGAATTGAGGACTTCCCTAAAAAGTTTCCCCCCCCCCCCCTCCAAAAAACAAAATATAGTATGAAGGATATTGCACATGGCATAGTTTACTATACCTTGAAACATGCTTAAAAGCTTCCACTATTACTGGAGCAAAATCTTTTGTAAATTCTGGTCCTTTCCTTTTGCTGTTCTGTATGACATCATTGGCCAAGTACAGGAATGTCAACTTCCTATTTGGCTTTGCTAATAAAAAGAAAGTGATAAAAATCCAGAATAATTAGAAGTTTATTCCTCCAATAAATACCTAGTTTTTCTTATTTACGCTAAATGCAAAGACCAGACTAAATGTGTTTCCCCCATCTCATGAATACTTACAACATTTCACTTCAATTGTGTATGTGTCTACACATGCACAATTTGCAGAGTTCCACCACACTGTCTTTTTTCTTTTCTGTTGCAGCTCTTGGCTCAGATTCTTCTACTTTCATAATATGACCCAAGCTTCCACCATCACCAAAAGCAAACAGAAAAAACATGACTTTTTTTTACCTGCTGAAGTATTCTTCGGCCTCCAACTATTTTCATGTGTTTTCCTGAACCTGATTTGATCTGTCTATTGGCAGCCTTCATGATTTCTTTCAAGCACCTCAGCTTCCCTTTCAACTTGCATAAAACTCTTTACACCCAAAGTTCTCTGACAAGGGGTTTTTACAGGTCCACTGCCACTCACGTGAAGAAATATCTCGTTTGGATTTGAATTTCACTCTTAGCCTTATATAACCACCCTTGAACAGTCAAACCCTACTCAACCCTTGCAACTCACTTGTAGACATCTATGATACTCCCCCACCTTGCCTCCTAATCACTAAAACATTTATGTGCCTGCAGCTGTAATCAAGGCAACATTTTCAAAAATCACTTTCAGGCTGCTACGGTATATCTTTTTTCCAAGCATTTTATGCATTTTACCCCAATCCCATTAACTTAATACAACACAAGCTTCCAACTTTCCATTACTTTTGAAAATATATTCCTTGTTCCTTAATTCTCCCTACTCATCTATTTCATTTTTGCCACGCTTCATCTAATTTTCACTAGTCAACAGGTTTCTTAGAGCTGCAGCTCTTACTGTATCAAATCTAATTTTGTACTAACATCAGAAGAATCCTCTATTTCTGTTACCCCCACACAATCTCAGTATGCACATTCTAACTTTACAGAAAAGTTTGAGACAAAAGATTTAATATTTCTGTCCTTTCAGGGAAAGTAGCACTGTGGTAAAGCCAATTTAGCGCTTTCTTTTAAGCTTCAGTTCAGTTCCTAACATGATTTAATTTCATTAATTTCCTCTCCAATCTCTCAAACATGCAGCAGAACCATCCTCACAAAAACAAAGCTTAAATGTTAAGATACTTTCACTCCAAGGAAAAGCTTCAGAGTATAAGTTTTGCTCTACAGAAAGACTCCAAGATTTCTGCTTACAATATTAAATGCCCGTTCTCTTGGACAGATAATCGCAAACTCTTAACTTCTGGTGTATAAGTGAAAAGGTGTTCTATTAATAGCAAAAACGCATGAGTCTGCTAAAATAAAGATGAACTAACAAGCAGCAAAAAAACAGACTGGAACTGCTGGACATAAAGCATATCTAAAAGTTTTCCTCCAATCAGTCAAGTCACTACACAAACACACCCCAGAAGTTGATTTATTTAGGTCAAAATCTGATTTGATCATCTGGCCTGCTTACACTTCAATATCCTGAAATTAGAAATTGTATAAACTAAAAACAAAATGTAGACTTTAGAAATTATGTAGCATACATTTATATGTTAAAGAGTGACTGGAAACATGGTGACATCCACATGTTCCAGGTAATTCACAGTTCTAATACATAGAAAGCCTTGAATTTAGGACCCCTGCAATTCAAAGAGAGGATCTTAGAAAGCACAGGGTGTTTCATGCTGTACCAAAATTAACCAGCTATTACGAAAGTCACCTCCCACCACACCCCTTTCTCCCTCAAATTTCTTAAAGGAACTCAGAGTTAGGGCTCTGAACCTGATCAGGCATACAGTTCTCCATACTACGCCCTCTGGATTGCAGGTATTTTAGGTTCTCATCTATGCATTTCACAAAAGAAAAAAAAGAAGCCATGTTTTAGTCCTTGATGACAACAGGCCTTAACTTTCTTGCTTCCAGCAAATAACCAAATCGCCTGAAACCAGAAAGACAGCAGATGCATAGTGTCATGGAGTCAGGTGAGGCTGATTCTCATAAAGCCTACTCTGTCTCTCACTACAGTAGGCAGATTGATACCATGTTTGGAAAAGGGATGCTAAAACCCAGAAAGTCACTTTCAAGCTTTTAATATGTTCAAGTTTAATATTAATCTTTTTAGCTTCCTTCTACTACTCAATGAAAACAAAGCTACATTTAGTGGAA